TCGATTCTGTTCCATTCATCTATGTGTCTGTTATGTTGCCAGTACCATACTGTCTTGATGATGACAGCTTTGTAATAGAGCTGGAAGTCCGGAATTGTGATGCCGCCAGCTTTGCTTTTCTTTTTCAATATTCCCCTGGCTATTCGGGGTCTCTTATGGTTCCATACAAATTTTAGGATTATTTGTTCCTTTTCTTTGAAAAAAGTAGATGGTATTTTGATGGGGATTGCATTAAATGTGTTGATTGCTCTAGGTAGCATTGACATCTTCACAATGTTGGTTCTCCCAATCCATGAGCATGGAACATTTTTCCATTTCTTTGTGTCTTCTTCAATTTCTTTCATGAGTATTTTATAGTTTTCTGAATACACATCCTTTGCCTCTTTGGTTAGATTTATTCCTAGGTATCTTATGGTTTTGGGTGCAATTGTAAATGGGATCAACTCCTTGATTTGTCTCTCTTCTGTCTTGTTGGTATATAGGAATGCCACTGATTTCTGTGCATTGATTTTATATCCTGGTAATTTACTGAATTCCTGTATGAGTTCTAGCAGTTTTGGGGTGGAGTCTTTTGGGTTTTCCACATACAGTATCATATCATCTGCAAAGAGTGAGAGTTTGACTTCCTCTTTGCCGATTTGGATGCCTTTGATTTCTTTTTGTTGTCTGATTGCTGTGGCTAGGACTTGTAATACTATGTTGAATAGCAGTGGTGAGAGTGGACACCCCTGCCGCGTTCCTGACTTTAGGGGAAAAGCTCTCAGCTTTTCCCCATTTAGAATGATATTCACTGTAGGTTTTTCATAGATGGCTTTTATGATATTGAGGTATGTACCCTCTATCCCTATACTCTGAAGAGTTTTGATCCAGAATGGATGCTGTACTTTGTCAAATTTTTTTTCTGCATCTATTGAGAGGATCATATGATTCCTGTTCTTTCTTTTGTTAATGTATTGTACCACGTTGATTGATTTGCAGATGTTGAACCATCCTTGCAGCCCAGGGATAAATCCCACTTGGTCGTGGTGAATAATCCTTTTAATGTACTGTTGGATCCTATTGGCTAGTATTATGGTGAGAATTTTTGCATCCATGTTCATCAAGGATATTGGTCTGTAATTCTCCTTTTTGATGGGGTCTTTGTCTAGTTTGGGGATCAAGGTAATGCTGGCCTTATAAAATGAGTTTGGAAGCTTTCCTTCCATTTCTATGTTTTGGAACAGTTTCAGGAGAATAGGTATTAATTCTTCTTTGAATGTCTGATAGAATTCCCCTGGGAAGCCATCTGGCCCTGGGCTCTTGTTTCTTGGGAGATTTTTGATGACTGCTTCAATTTCCTTAGTGGCTATAGGTCTGTTCACGTTTTCTATTTCTTCCTGGGTCAATTTTGGTAGTTGATACATCTCTAGGAATGCACCCATTTCTTCCAGGTTATCTAATTTGCTGGCATAGAGTTGCTCATAATATGTTCTTATAATTGTTTCTTTTTCTTTGGTGTTGGTTGTGATCTCTCCTCTTTCATTCATGATTTTGTTGATTTGGGTCATTTCTCTTTTCTTTTTGATTAGTCTGGCCAGGGGTTTATCAATCTTGTTAATTCTTTCAAAGAACCAGCTCCTAGTTTCGTTGATCTGTTCTGCTGTTCTTTTGGTTTCTAGTTCACTGATTTCTGCTCTGATCTTTATTATTTCTCTTTTCCTGCTGGGTTTAGGCTTTATTTGCTGTTCTTTCTCCAGCCCCTTTAGGTGTAGGGTTAGGTTGTGTATTTGAGACCTTTCTTGTTTCTTGAGAAAGGCTTGTATTGCTATATACTTTCCTCTTAGGACTGCCTTTGCTGTATCCCAAAGATTTTGAACAGTTGTGTTTTCATTTTCATTGGTTTCCATGAATTTTTAAAATTCTTTTTTAATTTCCTGGTTGACCCATTCATTCTTTAGTAGGATGCTCTTTAGCCTCCATGTATTTGAGTTCTTTCCGACTTTCCTCTTGTGATTGAGTTCTAGTTTCAAAGCATTGTGGTCTGAAAATATGCAGGGAATAATCCCAATCTTTTGGTACCAGTTGAGACCTGATTTGTGACCTAGGATGTGATCAATTCTGGAGAATGTTCCATGGGCACTAGAGAAGAATGTGTATTCCGTTGCTTTGGGATGGAATGTTCTGACTATGTCTGTGAAGGCCATTTGGTCCAGTGTGTCATTTAGTCTTTATTTCCTTTTTGATCTTTTGCTTAGATGATCTGGCCATTTCAGTGAGGGGGGTGTTAAATTTCCCCCCTAGTATTGTATTGTTGTCAATGTGTTTCTTTGCTTTTGTTATTAATTGCCTTATATAATTGGCTGCTCCCACGTTCGGGGCATAGATATTTACAATTGTTAGATCTCCTTGTTGGATAGACCCTTTAAGTAGGATATAGTGTCCTTCTTCATCTCTTATTACATCTTTGGTTTAAAATCTAATTTGTCTGATATAAGGATTGCCACCCCAACTTTCTTTTGGTGTCCATGAGCATGGTAAATGGTTTTCCACCCCCTCACTTTCAATATGGGGGTGTCTTTGGGTCTAAAATGAGTCTCTTGCAGACAATATATCGATGGGTCTTGTTTTTTAATCCAATCTGATAGCCTCTGTCTTTTGATTGGGGCATTAGCCCATTTACATTCAGGTAACTATTGAAAGGTATGAATTTAGTGCCATTGTATTGACTGTAAGGTGACTGTGACTGTATATTGTCTGTGTTCCTTTCTGATCTATGGTGCTTTTAGGCTCTCTCTTTGCTTAGAGGACCCCTTTCAATATTTCTTGGAAAGCTGGTTTCGTGTTTGGAAATTCCTTTAGTTTTTGTTTGTTCTGGAAGCTTTTTATCTCTCCATCTATTTTCAATGACAGCCTAGCTAGATATAGTATTCTTGGCTGCATATTTTTCTCGTTTAGTGCTCTGAAGATATCTTGCCAGTCCTTTCTGGCCTGCCAGGTCTCTGTGGATAGGTCTGTTGCCAATCTAACATTTCTACCATTGTAGGTTACATATCTCTTCTCCCGAGCTGCTTTCAGGATTTTCTCTTTGTCTCTGAGACTCATAAGTTTTACTATTAGATGTCGTGGTGTTGACCTATTATTATTGATTTTGAGACAGGTTCTCTGTGCCTCCTGGATTTTGAACCCTGTTTCCTTCCTCACATTAGGGAAGTTTCCTGCTATTATTTGCTCCAATATACCTTCTGCCCCTCTCTCTCTTTCTTCTTCTTCTGGGTTCCCAATTATTCTAATATTGTTTTGTCTTATGGTATCACTTATCTCTCGAATTCTGCCCTCGTGATCCTGTAGTTGTTTATCTCTCTTTTTCTCAGCCTCTTTATTTTCCATCATTTGGTCTTCTATATCACTGATTCTCTCTTCTGCCTCATTTACCCTAGCAGTTAGTGCCCCCATTTTTGATTGCACCTCATCAATAGCCTTTTTTGATTTCCACTTGGTTAGATTTTAGTTCTTTATTTCTCCAAAAAGCGTTTCTCTAATAACTTCCACGCTTTTTTCAAGCTCAGCTAGTATCTTTAAAGTCATGATTCTGAACTCTAGGTCCGACATCGTACTAATGTCCGTATTGAGTAGGTCCCTGGCAGTCGGTACTACCTCTTGTTCTTTTTGCTGAGGTGATCTTTTTCATCTTGTCATTTTGTCCAGAGGAGAATAGATGAATGAGAGAACAAAATGCTGACAGATTAACAACGTCCCCAGCAAATATACTGTATACAAATCGGAAAAGACCTGAAACCAGGGGAAAAGAAAGGGAAAGAAAGAGAAAAAAGAAAAAGAAAAAAAAGATAAAAACAAAAACAGAACAATACAAAAAAAGCAGAATATGATCAAATATGATCAGGCTAGTGCATAGATCATTGCCACACACTAGATTTTGGGCGTATTTTGGTCTGTTAGAAAAAAGTGCCTCCTAAAATTTTAAAGGAAGAAAGACATATATGTACAAATTAAGGGTTGATACAATGAAGGGATGGAAGATGACTGTAAAGATGAAAATTATAAAAGATTTTATAAAAGCAATTGATAAGATAAGTTGTTTGAAAAAAGAAAGAAGATTTAAAAAAAAGAAAGAAAAAAGGGAGAGAATGTGATCTGGCAGGAGACTAGAACAAAGCTATACACTAGTGATTTAGGGTATATTTTGATCTGTTAGAAGAAACTGTATCTCAAAATTTTAAAGAGAGAACAACTTATACATATATGCCAAAAATAAGGGTAACTACTATGAAGGGATAAAATATGACTCTAAAATTGAAAAATAAAAAATGTTTTTTTAAAAAAAAGGAATTGATGATGTTGGTTGAAAAAGAGAAAAAGAAAAATTAAAAAAAAAACAGTTAAAGAAATTAACTTTGAGGAACTAATGAATCATGGTAAAAAAAAAAGCCATGAATTCTATGTGCAGTATCCCCCTAGCACTGGAGTTTTCTCGTTTTCCTTGATCGGTAAACTTGGTCTTGGCTTGCTGGCTGTTCGTGCTGATCTTCTGGGGGAGGGGCCTCTTGCCGTGGTTTCCAAATGTCTTTGCCGGAGGTGGAATTGCCCCGCCCTTGTCGGTCCGGGCTAAGCAAGCTGCTCAGGTTTGCTCTCAGGAGCTTTTGTTCCCTGCAAGCTCTTGGTACAGCTTTGGAGGACCAGGGCGAAAATGGTGGCCTCCCAATCTCCACCCGGAGGAGCTGAGAACTCGGGGCCCCACTCCTCAGTGCGCCCCCAGAGAAAAGCAGTCACTCCCGTCTCCCTGGTCTCCGGCCGCACTCCGTGCTCACCCGGCCTGTGACCGAGCATTTGTATCTCTGGCACCCGACCCCGTGTGGAGTCTCCAAACCCAGCAGATCCCTGAGGTGTGCTCCCACACTGCTACTCTCAGGGGAGAAAGGGGAGTCTCCCCAGCTCTGCCGCTTGTTGGGTCCCTGCTTCCAGTAAGTGGTCGCTTCTCTGTTCAGAGAGTTGTTGCTACTCTCCTCTTCGATCTCCTGTTGAGTTCATAGGTGTTCAGAATGGTTTGATCCCTATTCAGCTGAATTCCTGAGACCAGACGAAATCTAGGTCTCCTACTCCTCCGCCATCTTGCTCTGCCCCCCTGACCAGTTATTATTTAATACATTTAAATATAATGCTTTCTTAAATTTACCAAAATATCAGATTCTCACACAGGTTTGTCATGACCATCACATGAATATCAAGAGTTATTGAGTCCAAGATGAATCCTGATTTCAAAGATATTCTAATGTGAAGAAAATCCATTTTCAAAATGGAGCTGGCAGGCACCCTCCCCCACATCCAGCATAAACACAGGGCCACCTGCCAAAATCAGCGTTGTGCCAACATTCACTTATCTAACAATATATCCCACCCCCACCCTCAGGCTTTGGGGATCCAATCCCTCCAGCCAAGCTTGCCTCAGTCCTCATGCTATAGGTCCCCTCCCACAGAAAACCTGCAAAAATCTCTCCAATACCACATCTCCTGATCAGTGTGCTTTGCAGGACCTTGGTCCTGGCAGCAGCTGTAAGTCCCCTCATGGGGGACCCAGACAAAAATGTGTTAAAACTGTGCATCCTAACCTCAAGCATGTTGTGGATTCACTCCCACCAATACAGCCTTGGCCAGAGCCATTTCAAACCTGGGCCACAACCTGCAAACAGACCTGAGAGGGGCCAGCACCACTCTGCAGTGACTCCTGGCCTTGGGAGAGAGAAAGATCACCACACACACCAGTCAGACTGCAGCCCCAGCAGTGGGCTGGGGGCAGACAACTGGTCTGATTGTAGGCCTGGTCCACCAACAAAAGCTTCTCAGAAAACAACACAGAGACAGCACCCTGCAGTTTGGTGCTACTGCATCTCAGGCAAATGCCTGGTCTGATACAACTCAAGCCCAAGGCATCTGCAGATTGGCCCACCAACACCACAGGGAATAGACACTGCCCACAACAGGAAAAGAGAGCCTCTGCAGATGACTGGACTGAAGGAAAAAGTTGCTCAGCCACAACAGCACCGTGCACAGAACACACATAGGAAATAGCCCTGAAGCACCAGATTCCAGTAAAGAGGAAACACTGTACTGCAGGGTGCCAGAGGATCTCTTCTTTATAAGGCCACTACTTTCAAGAGTAGGAGATATAGCTGACTCTCCTAACACAGAAAATCAGAGTTAGACAAAATGAGAAGACAGGAATATGTCCCAAATGAAAGAACAGAATGAAATCATAGCAAGAGACCTAAGTGAAATGAAGATAAGTAATATGCCTCATAGGGAATTTAAAGTAATGGTTATACAGATACTCACTGGACTTGATAAAAGACCTCAGTGAGACCTTAACAAAGACATATAAAAGAATCAATCAGAAATGAACACAAATTTGAAATTAAAAATACACTAGAAATGAATAGCAGACTTGAAGAAGCAGAATAACAAATCAGCAACCAGAGGACAGAGTAATGGAAAGTAATTAAACCCAGCAGGTGAGAAAAAATATGCAAAATGAGAATAGACTTAGGGAATTCAGTAACTCTATCAAGTGTAATAACATTCACATTATAGAGAGCTCAGGAGAACAGAGAGTAAAGGGGGCACAAAATTTATGTGAAGCAATAATAGCTGAAAACTTCCTGAATCTGGGGGGAAGGAAACAGACATCCAGATCTAGGAGGCACAGTGATCACCTAACAAAATCAACCCAAGGAGAGCCACAAGACACACTGTAATTAAAATGGCAAAAATAGTGATAGAGAAATCTAAAAGCAGCAAGAGAAAAGAAAACAGTTACAAACAAGGGAAACTCCATAAGGCTGAGGATTTTTCAGCAGAAACTTTGCAGGCCAGAAGAGAGTAGCATGATATATTCAAAGTGCTGAATGGAAAAAATCTGCAGCCAAGAATATTTTATTCAGCAAAGCTTTCATTCAGAATAGGAGAAATAAAGAATTTCCCAAACAAACAAAAGTTAAAGAAGTTCATGACCACTAAACCAGTCTTACAAGTAATATTAAAGAGAACTCTCTGAGTGGAAAGCAAAGACCATAAGTAAGAATAAGAAAAGTAGGAAGCAAAAAATCGGTAAAAATTAGTATATTTGTACATATCAGGCAAGGGACTCACAAAATAAAAGGATGTAAAATATGACACTATCTAGCTAAAATATGGCAGGGACAGAAGTAAAGAATGGGTTCAAACTTAAGCAACCATCAACTTAATATAGACTGCTATTTATATATAAGATGTTATGTATAAACCTAATGGTAACCACAAATCAAAAACCAGTAATAGGTAAAAAATAAAGAGAAAGGAATCCACGCATATCACTAAAGAAAGCCAACTTACTATGAGAGAAGAGAGCAAGAGAAGAAAGGAACAGAGATGAACTACAAAAACAACCATAAAACAAATAACAAAAACAGAGCTACCATATGATCCAGTAATCATACTACTGGGTATTCACCCAAAGAATGTGAAAACACTGATTTGAAGGGATATATGCACCCCTATTCCTGCAGCATTATTTACAATAGCCAAATCATGGAAGCAGCCCAAGTGTCCACCAACAGACGAATGGATACGGAAGATGTGGTATATATTGGGACACCTGGTTGGCTCAGGAATAGAAAGGAATTATTTTTAAAATAATATATAAAAAATAAAGACAGAAAATGTCAGATTTCATAATAAATATAATTGCAATAAATTTATTTTATTAACTGACAAAATTTTCCATACATATTAAAAAATAAAATCTAGCTATTACTTATAATAGACACACTCCAAATAAATTAATGGAAAAAGTTTTTTTTTAAAGACAAGGAGATTAGAAAAAAAGAAGACCTTTATTAGAGTATTAGAAATCAGAAAAAAATGCCACCCTACATATTTTTTTCCAATTAGGGAATACAATATATATCACATTGATAGAGAAAACAGAACAGAGAAATATGCATCCCAATACACATGCAGAAGAGGTCAGCCTCACAAGAAGAAGAAATTTTCCCCATGAAGTTTTTAAGAACCTGGAAGCAAAATGTCAACAAGTACAGGAAGAAAAAAAATCAGATTTTTTAATGATAAAGAATCACTTATAAAATATCACTAAGCAAATCATGTCCTCTTAGTATACAGAATTTAGCAACCTTAGGCCTTCACCCCATGTGAGAGCCATGAGAACTAAGCTGTAGAAATAGTGGAAATCTGCTTGCAAAGCAACAAATGTTCAATTAGGGAAACAAAGTGACAACTATGAAAGCTGCTACATAAGTGGAGATTCAAAATTTGGCAATAATTAGACCATTTAAAAGGCAAGAAACAGGGGTGCCTGGGTGGCTCAGTTGGTTAAGCATCTGCCTTTAGCTCAGGTCATGATCCCAGGGTCCTGGGATCAAGTCCCACATCGGGCTCCCTGCTCAGTGGGGAGTCTGCCTCTCCCCCCTGCTTGTGCTCTCTCTCGCTCACTCTCTCTCTCAAATAAATAAATAAAACCTTTTTTAAAAAATGTCAAGAAACAAAGTGGAATCAACAAACTTTATCCATTTAACAATAAGGTAATACAATAACCACTTTCAAAGAATAACCTTCATATTTACACACATACCATTTTGAAGGTGTAAAATAGTCTTTGAATAACTCTTGAGTTAAACAGTAATAGAATTAAAATTATAAGCTATTTAATAAGTTAATAAAAGGGCTGGCAAAATAAGGAGAACAGGGAGGGGGAAAAGATGGCAGAGGAGTAGGGGGACCCAGAAAGGCCTGGCAAACATATTCAGGGTACTAAATGAGAAGAACATGCAGGCAAGAATACTTTATCTGGCACGGCTGTCATTTAGAATGGATGCAGTGATGCACAGCTTCTAAGACTGGCAGAAACTGAAAGAATATGTGACCACTAAGCTGGCCCTGCAAGAATTATTAAGGGGGGTTCTATAAAAGCAGAAAGACCCCAAGAGTGATATACAACAAAAATTTACAGGGACAACGTATAAAAACAAGGTCTTCACAGGCAACATGATGACAATAAATTCATTCCTTTCAATAATCACTCTCAACGTGAATGGCCAAATGCTTCCATAAAATGGCACAGGGTTGCATATTGGATGAAAAGACAGGACCCATCCATATGCTGTCTACAAGATGCTAATTTTGAACCTAAAGATACATCCAGACTGAAAATGAAGGGATGGAGATCCATCTTCCATGCCAGCAGACCTCAAAAGAAAGCTGGGGTAGCAATTCTTATATCAGACAAATTAGATTTTTAAACTAAAGACTGTAGTTAGAGACACAGAAGGACACTATATCATTCTTAAAGGGTCTATCCAACAAGAAGATCTAACAATTGTAAATATCTATGCCCCCAACATGGGAGCAGCCATCCATATAAGCCAACTGTTAACCAAAATAGTCATATTGATAACAATACGTTAATTGTAGGAGACAAAATACTCCACTCTCAGCAATAGACAGACCCTCTAGGCAGAAAATCAACAAAGAAACAAGAGCTTTGAATGACACACTGGACCAGAGGGACCTCATAGATATATACAGAACATTCCACCCTAAAACAACAGAATACTCATTCTTCTCGAGCACACATGGAACTTTCTCCAGAATAGACCACGTACTGGGTCACAAATCAGGTCACAACCTATACCAAAAGATTGAAATCATTCCCTGCATATTCTCAGACCATAATGCTTTAAAACTGGAACTCGATCACAAGAAAAAATTTGGAAGAAATTCAAACATTTGGAAGCTAAAGACCACTCTGCTCAAGAATGTTTGGGTCAGGGGGAGGAGCAAGATGGCAGAGGAGTAGGAGACCTAAATTTCATCTGGTCCCAGGAATTCAGTTAGATAGGAATCAAACCATTGTGAACACCTACGAACTCAACAGGAGATCGAAGAAAAGAATAGCAGCAACTCTCTGAACAGAAAAGTGACCACTTTCTGGAAGGTAGGACGTGCGGAGAAGTGAATCCCAGGC